AACAGAAAATAACTTATCATAAATCACAATTAAAATTCAGTCGGTAATAAATGGCGCTAAGGTGATGCCATACAGAACAAAAAGATTTGGTCGCGAGAGTTACCTTAGATGACCGTATAACGATGTTGTTTTATAAGCGGAAGGTAGAACAATCAAATTTAATAAAAAAAAAACGGGGGTTACGACACCTGTAACACATCAAGTTCATTAGACATCTAAGACTTCTAAGTTGGTTACTCGATTACTACTATCCTATCAATATTACACTTATTACACCTGTTTGAGTATTCCGGACAATTTCGAATTTGAAATAAACGAAAACTCAAAATATCATAATTAATACACAAAAGTAAAATAAACATTCATCGAAAAAGTTATTATTTAAGAACAACAACATAATCGTATAATTCCGCCCAAACCCCGATGTTCGCAAGTGAGATGATAAATAAATACTTTCCGTGTATTCGATAAATCAACTTCTGCAAACAGTCTTGGTGCAAAATATTTCCATCCAGTGATATGCTTACAAATATTCTCTGGGTTAATATCATAACCTCGCCTATAGGACTGGGCAAAATATTCGTATCGTTTCAATTTCATACTTTGCGCCAAAAAAGGTACCAACAAAGCTTCCTAATTTCAGAAGAGTCAAAATAAATAGACTATTCGGAATAAATATCCCAGATTTCAAACTCCGTATATTGGCAGCATGAATTAGCCGTTTCATGTAGGAGCCGCACATACAATTGATTGTCGAAAATTAAAAGTTAAATTGACGTTCCGAGAGCCCACACATGGTATAACATGTACAGGCTATAACCAGAAAAAAATGACAAGTCATAATCCTTTTAATGTGCTTTCAATTAGCTCGTTAGTGATCCCTCCCATCCTTGGCCAAGTAATGTTTCGAAAATGTGAACCTTCCACTCAGTCATGCATGGCGGGTGGAGTGTTGAAATCGTGAACAAGAGTATAACGTAAAATCAATCGTGAATTTCGATGTAACAACGCACACTGTCGCCGTCATGAATTGCGCCTAGTAACATCGGAAATATTAAATTCGTGATATTTTGAGTATTTTTGCACCAATAATTAGGGCGTGATTATCAAAATGGTGAATTTGCAAATTCCGTAAATAAAATTGTAACATTTTAGCTAGAATTATCACCGGGCAGGGGCGCAGCCAGGATTTTTTCAACGGGAGATTAGGGGGAAGTTAAAACATTACACCAAAACTGCAATTCGCGACGACATAATGCGTTTATAACTAAAATGTAAGGTCGTTCACGGCGAAATTTCGCAGTTACGTGTAGCCCGCCTTTCTTTGCCCAACGGTCCCAAGTCCTATTTTTAAACATCGACCATTTATCCGTAGTCAGCGGGCATCCGCATCTAGAAATAAAACATTAAAAATCGCGAAAATTAAATTTGGAGAGATCTATAACTTGCAGATGTCAGTAGTGTCATCATGGTTTATATGTACAAAAACACGCTCACATGTAGCGACGATCAAAATCATGAAAATGTGAAACTATTACTTGAAAATTATTGTTAATGAAGTTAAATTTTTATTGCCATTCAATGATTATTTCATAATTTTGTCATAATCGAAGGCTGCAGTAAATTTTTTGTCGCCGCGATCGTGTTGTTAAACTATATTAAAGCATGTTTTTATTCACTAGCAAATATTAATTCTCACGTAATGGCGGACATCGTAGTTTGGTTTTTATATTTCGGATAGAATTGTGAATTCACATCGGCGAAGATTTTAAAGACAACTATTAATGAGCGCATTCACAACGAAAATTGATTTTGTTCTGATTTTTATCTTCTGTGTAGGATTTGTATCAATTCGTAAATTACCGTCCCGAGTTTAAGCGAACAATAATATTATTACTGACCCCGGGATGCGATATTTGTGAAGCAGATAGTTGACATTTCTATGCTTTTAATTTTAGATCGTGTCTGTGTTACTTTCGTATTAAATAATAATTGAAAAACTCCGCAAATTAGTTATCTCTTGAGTACTCAGTGTTAAGTATTTACGTAACTCAGCTTTGGGTTAAAACACTGATAGTAACTAAACACGTGAATAAATCGGCAATAATGGCATTTCGACATGGTCAAAATAATATTTCTCACCAATATCTCATGAAAGTTCCATAAAATACATAAAATACTTGTCTTACTTACCAACGTTTCTAAATTTACAAAAACGATGTTGACACGCTTTATACAAAATCGTTTCAAATTTATTGTTTCTACATGTTAGCGATAGCCGTCTGGTTAATTCTTACCCGTAACTCATTGTAAAGTAATGTTAATAAATTGTGTTTTGCTTTCCAATGCGCTGTTAACCGCGGTTAAATTCGTTCGTTTTCCGGAATTGCAATCAACAATTACACATTTTTTATTTATCAATATCAGTACCGAATAAAAAAAGATAACATATCGTGAAGACGAAAAAAGTCGTTGAAACTGAGTTGAATTGGTTGCAATTAGCGCCTGATTAGGCATCAGAGCACTCGAGCCCAATGTTTTTAGCATTAGTCGCATATGTAAAATATCCTTAAAGAAGTGCTGTTTATTAAAGTCATCTCGTCTTATGGCCACGCAGAAATGCCTTCATTGCCGAATTATTTAATCACAATTTTAAATCAACATTCAGGATTGGCACAATCTCAGATTTGCGAGATTTGTCTGTAAATTAATACAGACACCATAAAAAAATTATAAAAGTTAATTATCGTATTAAATATTTGCATTCCGGCATCGATAATAATAATACCATTCGCTTAAAATTGGGACAGTAAATTGACAAACGTTGATAGGTAATATCAAGTCAACGCAAATGTTTATTTTGGTTTTGAAATTTGTCGTTAATGCCCTTAACAGCTGTTGCCGATGTGAACGCACGCGTAAGCCTGGATTGCCAAATCCAGGATATAGTCGCCAAAACGATTGCAGTGACAAAAACAATTGCTATTATAACGAAATTAACCAGTAGAAAAGGCTTCCTTGCTAATTTTTCGACCGACGTTCTAGACTCCTGCTGTGCATAAAAAATATTCCTTATTCGTTAAAAATATTCAATTCGAAAAAATATTCGATTTTGCCCACCCCTACTCGCATATTAATGAGGAAATAGTTTAGATTGATTTTTGACCCTGGTCTGAGTTTGATTTATCGTGAATGACTAGACTAGCTAATACTGAATATCGCAAAATTCCGCGAAACGCCATTTGCTTTTAACATTCGTGGTTACAATAAAATGGCTGTTAAATGTTAATACGACATATGTATTTTGTCAATTTGGCGATTTTGCAAATCTGTGAGATGCTGCTAAAAGTTTCCTCTTAATTTAACAAACAATGGCCCAAGTTTACATTCCATAACTAAACAATGTCGTGTCGAGTATCAGAAATTTCTGAATGGCTCCAGTAAATTCACTAAGCAGAGAACACAGACCTGTCAAACCAGTACTAGAAAATCGTGTACTTTGGTCACAATTCATCGATGTCATTGACAGTCACATGACCACTCTCGTTTAGAGAAACGCACTGCCTTGCATTCGGACATCTGGTTTCAAAGACGCCGCCGAGCGTTTTCGCGGTCGAAGCGGAATGGAATCGGTGTGCTTGTATAATAATCATATTATAAACAAGAATTTTGCCATTAATGCAAAAGCTTTATCTTCCATGTCTTCACCACATAGGTTAGAATTCCGGTAAATATCGTTATGATATGCAGAATTGAGTTACAAAAGTACTAGTATGTTACTTATTTGTCAACTTAATACGCACACAAAAACATTTGTCAACTTTGAATTTTTATTCCATTCAAAATCGAAAAAAAGTGCTATTTCTCTTCAAAATCGGAAAAAAGTGCTATTTCGCAGTCCCTAAAAAAAGTTGCGAAAGTGCTTCGCAATTTTCGCAAAAAAGTGCGCTAATAGTGAACACTGTTGGAGACTATAACCCAACAATGTCTTTTTAAAATTGTGAAAGTGGAAAGTGTCTTGTAATTGTAAGGATTATAAAAATGTAGGAAATTATTTTGAAGCTGCAATGGATAGATGATACATTCAAGGGCAACAACTAACATACAAGAGAAATCAGATGTATATGGAGCTTCACTTATAGCAGAGACAATTAATTTCTAGTGCTGACAAAATTAAAAGCAACCAATTTGAAGAAAAAATAGATACAAAATACATTATCTAACGATACAAATAATCAGAACAAGCTCCAACTTGTTTCAACTTGCAGCATAAAATAGAAAAATTGTGAAAATATGCAACTAAAATCAAGTATGCCAAAGCATGACATTGATTTATTTTTAAATTGAATCACAATTGGTTGACCTTGAATAAATGGAAAAAACCGAAATCACGGCATTAAATGGAATGTGAACTCTTTTCCACACAATTCCCATCCTGTTGACCTTGGCATTGAAATTTGATGACCCCGAACTGACAATGTCATTCACTGTTAAGGGAGCAAATGCACGAACATACAAATCTGATATCCACCTGTTTAAACTTGAACTTAACCCCACTTGAAAGATGGGAGCCATTTAAAAAAGTTGTTTTTTCTATGCTTAAGTATAATTTTAATATATTTCACATTCAAGATACGATTAAAACAAGAGTTTTCTGAAAAAGAAATCTGAACAAAACGCCTTAGAGATAGCTGCCTGATTCAAATCAAGTCTGAAAAACGGGTAATTAACTGACTGTAGATTAATACTGTACTCTTCCGCAGTTATCCTTCACCTAACCAATCCTCAACACAAATTATAAGCTCTCTGTCACTGACACACTTTCATATCACCCACATAATTAAATAGCAATACAAAAATATTCCCCAACCACAGAGGTTATTAATTTAAAAATTCCCATGACATATCAAGCATGGACAGTCGATGGACTACTAATAAATACATCTTTATATGCCTCATCTGATGAAAATTCATTTATAATCCATTTATTAATATCATACCTTGTTTCTGTCGATGGGGTCCATAAGAATGAATATCATTCAAAGGGCTGATATTGTCTTGCAAGACAGTCGTCTGACCACTCCCGTTTTTAACAGCAGAATGAATAGAGAGAGGAGTGCTCCAATCCGTCCAGTAAATTCGATCTCCGGAAAGTGTGATTGCAAATGGGTGTTGCAGGGAACCAACTAAGATGTCGACATCACTGTCATAATTGCCAGAATTGGAACCACTATTGGTTGGTCCATTACTGACCACGACTTCCCTGAAATTTGAAGATGTCAAAAAATGAATGAAATATTTTCGTACTTGTGAATTAAATTTCTATTTTTAAACATTGATGGTGAGCAAGATATTTTTCTTCAAATATAGGTTATCATTATGAAGCACCATAAATGTAGTGTAAAATAAAATATTCCAATACATGCATAATAATACATACATTGTTATGAACAAAAATCAAAATACAGATTCAGGGATACAATATCAGCTGATGTCTTAAATAAATATATAAATATGAATTAATATATAGAATTATAGAATGAAAAAGAAAATATTGTTGAATATAAGTAACTGAATTACCGAGATGTGATAAAGCTGGAATAAATCATATTAAATGCGAAAAGGCTTTTACTCCATCCAAATTATTTTGAAACTGATATTTACAGTAGTCTCATCTTCACGCATCCAACGAAATTTAATAAGGAATAATTGACAATGGGTAAATGTTGCCTAAGCTTGAATGAACAATAGGGAACAGTCTCATTCGGATACTACCAGTCAAGGATAAGTTGGCCATTGAATGGCAAGCATTGGGGTTTTAAACATCTTTGCTTAGCACCATAATAGTTAATTCATAATTAATTAATACTGCAAGCTGTATTTCCATATTTTTCAGTAGTACATTCGTTGATGCACCAACTAAGAAAGTAAAGAATAAGATAATAATGTGCTGAATAGGAAGTTTGATTTACCAAATTCACAATGATATTAATTAAGATAAGATATTAACTGATATGATAAACCACTTGCATGTACCAAGTTGGAAAAGTACTGGTACTTTAATAAGGACTAAATAAGGAGATATCAACCTTCCTGTTCCATCAGTATTCATCCTGTTGATATAATGATAATTGGCATCAACCCAATAAATTTTGTCTTCATCGTAATCGAGAGTGAGACCATTTGGCCAATAAATGCCATCTCTTTCTACCAATGATATTCTGTTCGATCCATCCATCCCAGCTCTTTCTATTTTCGGATTCTCTCCCCAATCGGTCCAATACATGTAGCTAAAAATAAACATCATTTATCATTTATACTCTAGGTAGGTAGCTATATCAAGATACATTTTGAATATTAGAATAAAGGCAAGAATTTATTATAAACAAAACTTCTCCTGTTATCAGAACAGATTGTTATGGGAATATATCAGTAATAACCTGATAGTGCAACACATACACGGCACAATGTCAAGAAATTGTAGTGAATATGCAAGATTCAAATCTGTGGAATCAACACAAAATACACAAAGTTGAGATTGAGATGGTGAGCATGTTTATAACTCAAAACACCTATCATATAACAAAATATAATAGAAGAAAACGCAAGATAAATTTATTTCAAAAGGACGTAAAGCTTTATTGGTGACAAATATTCCACTAGGAAGCCTGCACAAATCATGATATGTCTTGTTCATTGTTAATTTCAGAAAAAGTAAACAAAAACCCTCCCTTTGCTTAATGAAATATAGATTCAGATAATACATATTCCTTTTGCGGTAATCATTACCCACTAACGCAAACTGATGTTTTAATTGAACACATTTACAAAACAAATAAAAAACTATCATCCATGGGTGAGTGAAACATCTTCAGAAAAAACAGAAAAGTAATTCCAATATAATCAATAAACGCACACACTCAACTTCACAAATTTTCTATGTGAGTGCCACATTCAAGAGGTGACAAGAACCTTTGACAAGAAAACCAATAATGGTTTACAATAACAGTTGAGAAATGAGAACAATGAGAATTATGGTAAACTTTGTGATCTTTAAAGATTAAGATGGCAATGAAAAAAGAAACTGGACATGTTCGTACATTTTTAAAACAAAATTAAATTTCAGATATGTAATGCCTAGTTCGTAAAAATGGAACTTCACAAATTGAAATTGATGAAAATTTATTTTAGTAAGTAAAATACAGTCAGTTTCTTACCCTTTAATTGGGTCAACTGCAATTGCTCTTGGTTGATCAAGCTGATCCCAGACCAAAACTTTACGAATCTTGCCATTTATGTCACTGACTTCGATGCGATCGGTTTCATCATCTGTCCAATATAATTTTTTACTTATCCAGTCACAAGCAAGTCCATCAGGACGTACAAGTCCAGTTGTAATGACGTTTCTTTTTATCCGATTTTCAAAACTTACATTCGTGAAAGTTGATTGTATTTTATCCTGTAAAATGCATCACAGTGTTTACGTGTTATAAGAACAAATAATACAAAGCAAAATTAGAATGACACACAAATAAAACCAGAATCTGCTATCAAAAAAGCTCCATTCCATTGGATATACATAAGAAATTGTCCGACCACTTTCCTCTTTGAGTTTTCTGTTTTAGAATTATAGATATTCAATTTTTGTCCCATGATCAAAATAGCTACATACCAGACAATGGGCTGCAAAACCCATAAAAAAGCAAAAAACAACATAAGCCTAGTTCAACAATTGATAATGTTTGTCCAGCTTTCCCAAAATTCCTGCTAATATTGACAATAAGTTACCTGTCCAGCTGCTGAATCGATCCAAAATATCAAATTATCTGAGTAAATATAATCACATGACATTGTGTAGTCAATATCGTCTACTATCAATTCAACATCAGTTGGATTGGCCGCGTCGAGGAGTTGAATGTTTGCACGATTTCCAAGCAGGAGCTTGGGCAAATCATTGGAAGCTGTATAAAATATCAAATAATAAGTTAGAACACGATAAAAAATTGACCGTTTTGAATTGAGTAACTACATATTAGCAGGGTGTTTATGCTACACAAGTCAGATGTCCGAACGATACACATTCGTATTTTATGTTTGTGCTTATAATATAGGTTAAACTGGCACATGTGTTTCTACGTGTTTTAAACCTTATTAGAGTCTTTGTCAGTTTTCCTGATTTTCCTAATATTTCGTGTGTTCATTGTTTTGTTTTATGTATGTTTTTCATGGAAGCATATTCAAATGAAAATTAAAATTGGGGCTAATTGACTAAACGCCTTCATGTACTTCTAGTTGGCGTGGCATAACCATTTTCACATATGTCATTTCTAACCCCCACCTGACTACGCCATCCAAAAATTACGTCACTACAACGTCACAGTGACAAAATAAGGCCCATCAAAGTATACGGAATGTCGTCTGAAACGCGGGACGATCACCCAGAATCAAGCAAGCTATTTCTCTCGTTTTCTCATCTTAATGATCCAGATATGAGAGAGATCGCTGGCGTAAGCAAGTTTGTTATTGTCGGCGAAGATGCCATTTCGGGCGATCGTAGCATTTCTTTGGCAAGCTCTATGACGTAATTGTGACTTAATTTTGGAATGATGTAGTCAGGTGGGGGTTAGGAATAACATATTATCAAAAATGTTTGTGCCACGCCAACTAGAAGTACTTACGGCGTTTAGTAAACATGCGCCTTAAAATTTATAAAATCGTCAATAAAGGAAATGATTCACTCCAAACACTTCCTTATTTATCAATAACACTTCCTGCATGTAACTATCGGGTATAAAAAATAAAATTGAACTCAATAAGTATTGTATATACAAGGAACACAACACAAAAGTGAAATTTGACAAGAGAAATGAACTTACTGAGAGGTTCAATAAATGAATAAATGAGAATGAGGTAGAAGATTATCTTGAGTACTCCCATATTTTCAAACGGTTGCCCAGGTAAATCCACAAACAAGCAAATAATAAAGATCTTTACAAGAATTTAAAGTTATCTTGAGGTAGACGAGTAACTTTTGAGAACAAAGTCAAGCTTCACTTTTTTCTTGTCAGACATAAATCCCATGATGTGCAAACAACTTCAGGTAAGTCAGTAAATAGCTTCATTTTTACATAATATAAGAATCTTTATTGATAGAGCTTCATATAAAATACTGTTAAAAAAACAGGTTAATATTTGAAAGTTTGAGTTGTTTATGAAAGTTTGAGCATAGGTACCGTACCGTAGATAGTTGTGAGTGGAACATGCATGACACTGTGACATGAGATTAAAAATGCTGAAATGCAGAAATGTGGGTTCAATGTACTAAATGCAAAAATGACCTACTGTATTACGGGTAGCTGATCATATTTTAGCATTTGCTATAAGATAAGATAAGTTTATTTAGACTCCATAATCCAGTAATCAGCAGAAAGGCGATAAAACGGCTGATAAAAACAATTAAATAAAAACTGATTATGAAATCAGGAGAGTAAACAAAACCTTGGATAAGGTTTCAAACGTACATTACGGTACCGTATATGAGATGGAAGGTATTGCCAAAAAGTAGTGGTACATGTTCATTTACCCATGGTACCGGTAACAGTACCTACAGATTGACAGACCTAACCTACCGGTACTGACCCATGCTTAGACAGGTACCGGAATCTGATACTGTATCACCGGTACCGTAGTCCAACTGCTGAACTGGCTAACTAATCACATGCCGCTACGGCACCGTACTAACGAGAGGGACTGACTAAAAGTAGGCACTTGCAAATTAGGCACTTTTTTAGGCACTTATTTAGGCACTTTGGAAAAAAAGTAAAAAGGGCGTAATACCTTTTAAAAACATAATTAATTAGTTAAAAATGGTCAAATTAAATGTTGAAAACGCAAATTGCAACGGGCAAATTCAATAGCAATATTTAAAACGCAGTTTTAAAGGCAGTCGCACGCGCTTGGTCACCACATATGCTAGGCACATATTTAGGCACTTTGAAAAAAGAAGAAAATCGGAATTATCACCAATAAAAGACAGAGTATTAAAAATTTTACCCACACTGATTAGCCTGGGCAAATATCCAATAGATGCACTCAATGACATTAAACAACATGATGCGCAACTCAGGCATTTTTGGCCGAAGATCGTATCCGATAGCACGCTCCAATGCACATACTTAACGAGACGAAAACGAGCGGAAGTGTGCTGCTTTCAAGGCATTGCACTAATGGTGTTCGTTCCTGCTTTGACAGTTGTTGTCGATTTTAATGATATATTGGAAAATTGAATGTAAAAAGAAATCGGAAAAAAGTAAGGTAAATACTATTGTTGTATATCACACCCGGGCATTGTACTGTTAAGTACATGTGGGAAAGCCAGCTTTTGTCAAATACTACGAAGTTATTAAATCAGTACGGTACGTAGTTGCCCATTTGCCGAAATTGCATATTTACTTACCCCTTACGGTTTCAAATAGTTCATGCACCTCCAATTAGATTATTTTTAATCAGTGAGGATATATACTCATTGCTGTAACATACTATTGCTCATTCACTTTTATTTGCGTATTGAATCAAAGGGTTAACAAGTTCACCTAACATTTCACTCATACCGGTCTATATTGTATAGTAATTTTCTGACTAAACCCCTTTATTAGTTGGTTTATATACCAAATTCAGTAAAACATTTTTTACATAAAGCATGAGATATTGGATTTATTAGCTTTTCCAATCTAAATCATATAGACTGCTTTATTTATTCTTAACGAAAATTATTAAATCTCCTCTCTTTCTTTAGATGTAGAAGTTGTGGGAAAACCTGTCTAAGCATTGTGGGACTCCTGCAGCACAAGAGGCAATAGCAAAAATAGAAAGTATATCAATCAAGAAATTAAGCCGACATAAAGCAAAATTTTCAACTATTCGTCCAACCTCAATTTCCTATTATTTATTCACAGGACAACTGTAGCAGAAGGGGAGATATCAGAAGTCTGGCGACATATCAGTGACAGTATGATTCCAAGAAATACAATCAGAATACTCCATAAATGTTTGCAATAGAAGAACAACCTATGGAGACATGCAAAGACATTTGACCCTTCGGTAGAGTTGTGTATGGCCCCTACATCCTGCAGGGCTTGAGGAAAATAACTAAAAATTCCAAAGCGCAAGATTGCATAAGCGGTCTTATTCGTAAAAAGGCACAAAACATGCCAGACATACTTAAAACAGCTTTGGAAAATGAGGATTATGGGTCACTCACTACACCTGTGTTATATTTGATTCATCAACTTTTGGTAGTAGGCCTACTAAAGAAGAAATTCAGGAAAGGGTATAATCATGATTTATGATAAAATACTGTTTTATATTTAGGACAACTTCAATCTAGACCAGGGATATCAAACTCGCGGCCCTGGAGAACTTCCAGTGCGGCCCTCGAACGCTTAACAATAATCGTAATTGTATTTTGGAGTTTTGTTTTATCTAAGTGTAATAGATTTTTCAACCCTTTTAAAGTGAAATTGAATATTCACACAGAAAGCAATTTACTGAAAGTAGTTTTGGAAAATTAATTTTTTTGTTCACATTTTGACCCAATTAAGAATACACATCAAGCTAGCAAAAGAATACTTGAATAAAACACTTGAGTGAATAAATTAAACGCAAAGTACATGAAGAAGGTGGCATTTTCGAAGAAAATGGGAGTTGCAATATTTCTGCATTTCACAAAATTTTGAAGCACATTGTTCCATCTGTCATATTTTCATCAGTACAATAAAAAAACACAATAAGCTCAGCAGTCAATATGACAATTTCGAAGACCAACTTCGAACAGAAAATTACCATGTGTTTGTATATTAATATAAATATACAACGAATTAGTTACTAAAAATTAATATCAATATTAATTCAAGCAATCCTATGCCATGCAATGTGGCGCGAAATGTCGTGTCGAAAATATCTGTCATTTGTTTTTTTACTGATCTATTCATGAAATGATAAAAGAAACTTTTTTGCATTACTGGAATTAATTAAACATTCGCAAAGATCCAGATTAACCCATGATCATGTGACCTCGTTAGTTAGAGTTGGTAGTATAAAATCATTTCAGCCTTGCCTTAGTATGCTGGTGACACAAAAAAGATGCCAAACGTCAGGACAAATGTAATTAAAAAAACATTGAGTTTATACTGTAGTATTTTTGTTAATTTCAAGTCCATGTATTTAGATTAAGTCATTTTTAGTGTATGTATTATTCTTTCCTTATCCAAAGCTTGTTCAAAAATGATTTTGATGGTTGTATATAGAATTTTATGATTTTTTGTAATAAATACAGTAACTTGCAATAATAGTGGAATGCAAATATCAATATGTAATTGCATTTGAAATTAAAGAAAATAATAAAACTTAATCCAACTGTTTAGTTGCATCACAATATATGTCACAAACTAAAACTATCTGAAAAATATCTTTCAAGTATACATTATCAAAAAGTGATTTTGGCCCTTTTTACAATTTCCAAAATGCAATGCGGCTCTCAAAAACCCTTGAGTTTGACACCACTGATCTATTCTAGACGATTCAAGCATTGCTTTGGGAAATAATATCACTGCAATTAAATTGAAAAAAATCTCGCTATATTGAATACAAAATCGTTGCTATCATAAAGGTAAACCAATTCAGCCACTCGGAATATATTGGCCTTCACAAAGCAATGGAGGCAAAATTGAGAGTTCATGAGCTATGAACTTATGTTCTTTTCTTTGTCTTGAACTTTATATACTCCACAGCCCCTATTAATTTTTTTTTTAATTTTAATTACCATGTGATGGTCATACATATCTTTAACTTGTATTTTCTGTCATGATGTATTATCTCAATGTGTCAAACTTTTAATTAGTTTGCATATTTTGCTTCCAGATGACATAAATGTACAGTATTGTCTTGTTTATTACCTCAGCTTGGAGTATTGACAAGAAAAAGGTGCCCGTAAATTACGTAAAAAAAATTTTAACTCTTTGTTATAATCAGAATTCACAATTAATAGGAATCATAAACAGCCAACAATCAATGAGAATTATATGCCAAATCCCTCAGAATAAATTTGTCTTCTAAAATCGGAGGAAGGCAAAACACATATAGGTAGTTTCCATTCATACAAGTCTTTCAAGAAGACTTGCTCGAGCCAAACTAAATGAGCATCGTCAGATGATCGGTAAGTCTGCAAGTTGAATCAGTCCTGCAACCTCCTGCATAGAAGATAATATTAATTAGTGAACTAAATTCCTAAATTTAGACACAAACCTATCTACGAGGCATTATGTACCAGCAATGTTACCTACGGTTAACTAAATATGTAATATATATGTCTAATAAATTAACCTACTAAAGCATGTTCGATAGGTGCAAACTTTGTGTTATGGAATTGTATCACAGCACCGTTAAGAGAAGTAAAAACAGTTTTGCATGACACTCTCTTTAAATGAAATTTCAATGTTTTAAGCGCAAACATTAAAATTACTAACTTTGAACTTTGTCATTATCTGCAAAATGTTCCACACAAATCTTTACGCTATCGCGTTTGTAATCTTCTCTGATAAAAAAAACGTCTATGATGTCCAGAATTACTCTTTACAGCTTGTCTGCCATTCCAGCTTCCCAAGTGAGCAAAACTTCTTAGATATAGAGATTATTTTCTTTCGTTACAGGCGCAAAAAGGCAGGCACTACACGTAAAGTAGACGCCGAGTAGCAAAAGCGAGCGGAAAACGGTCGCGAAAGGCGACGAGAACTATGTGCATTGGAGCGTATCATGAAATACAATCTTTCGCATGTAGTCTTATGGAGTGACGTCAGAGTTGCCTATCATGTTGTTTAATGTCATTGATGCACTTGAGTCTGATACTGGAATTTAGAAATAATAAATTGTTACCGGTAGGCACTTTTTTAGGCACTTCGAAAAAAAAGGTGAAATGAACGTAGTAACTCCTAGAAAGATAATGAATTAGTTCAAAATATTTAAATTAAATGTTGAACGCGAAAATTGCAACAGTTAAACCCAATAACGATTTTTAAAACGTAGTATTGAAGAGAGACGCACGCGCTCTGTCACCACGTATGCTGGACACATATTTAGGCACTTCGAAAAATAAAGAAAATGGCAATTATCACTAATAAAA